AAGATATGGCTGCCAACCGATGTCAGTGGCGTTCTTGTTGTCAGTTTCTATCCCGATTGCCTGAGTGAATGTCTGGAGGTGTAGGCACTTCGGAATGATTGTGTTAAGCTAGCACTAAGTCCCTTCCCCGTCCACCTTTACTCTTTTCTATACAATAAGGCTCTCAACTAAATCATGGTTGTACGGCACTGAAGCATTGGTGTTCAAAACTGATGTCATGTTGTCGATGATGATCACGATGAGTAGGAACAGGAACTTCGACCTTCGTTTGACCTATTCGCCACTGTTTCTGACGCAATAGATCCCCGAACTATCTTCGTGTCCAAAAAGTCGTTGTCCAATCTGCACTTCTTCAGTTCCAAACGAATAAATAAGGCCTTCAAGTGTTTCAAGAAAAGGACAGCTAGCCAGTACTTCAGAAGGCAACAGAACAGGGGGATAGGGAGGAATACTGCTGCCAGCTACAGCGCCGTGATTCGTCGGTCAGTTGTTGGTACATAGTAAGAACAAACTCTCGGTTTCGTTTGGGTTAATGTGGAATTCAGAGAGAGGATTGTGGTTAGCCGACTTCATAGAACTACAGTTGATGAGTCGACTTACTTACAAATAGAGAGTAAAAAGAAGTTACTGGATGCTTGATTCTTAATGATCTGAAGATCTGTTCACCTCAAGCGTCTTATTAGAATGTGTTACGGTGATATACACAATCAAAAGATCGATCAAGCTGCAAAACGGAGAGCTGATGGAGGGTTTCGTGCGATTGTTCTCCTCGCTCAAATACCACTATGTGGGAGCTGACGGATTAGGCAAACGCAATCGAAACATGTGCAGACGAATGCCAATGTGTGAAAGAGGGAGGTGGCGAGGCTGCAGGGTGCGTCTAAATGGACAGTCTATCAGCAGGACGCAACGCGAATGATATCCAAAGGTCACATCTTGAACTTACCATGCAAGGTCACGCGGTAAGACCATATTAGTCCCATGACTCACGGTTATAAGTGGAAGCATGAGTGTGCTGAAAAATGCAACAAAACCAAGTGATCAGAGTGGCTGAAATGGGTGGATACAATACGCAATCAGGCTTGGCAGAAGTATAGAGCCTATCTCAAACGGTGCAACAGCAGGCAGTGATGCATGAGAAAATACGTGAAACAAGGGAAAAAAGGGACAAGTGAGCCGATGCCATCTGGAGTTAACAGGTATGTCGTAGGCAGCCCGGCCTCATATTGTGAATTCAAGGGGTTTATGGTCACATATAATAGAGCTGTCAACTTTCTCATGTGCTCTCCCCAAGGTGAGTCTGAATTTAATCCCCGTCGCCACTATAACAGCTGGAACAAAACAATATGGCAATGTGCATGCATTGTGCGCAAACGATCTGCGCTGAGTGCGCTCAGTTCGTATACGCGTACAAGCCGCACTGAAACAAAGTGATGAGCGAAGAATTTAATCTAGCTGAGCGTGCGATAGACAAACAGGTGCGCAGTAACACGGTTATTTCTTCCTTGTTCGGCAACTCTCGCAGTTCAGGGGATTGAACCTTTGGAACAAAAGGCTTAACACAACAGGAGTGCTCACTGTTATGCGATTTTCGAAGGTGATTAGAGTAGTACAGCCCCACTAGCCTGAGGGGAACGGCCAATTCTAGGTGGACTGGCCACATATCAAAACGAGCATCACTGTGGCTGCAGTATGCGAGCATGACCCAAGTGCACTATGGAAAGTGATGTCATTGCCGCATGTGAACATATGGTTTCAAACCACACCGACCTGCCCACAAAAACAAGGCGATTTGTTCAAGATGAACCACCAACTCATCGGTCGCGATGGCTATTTGGATATCTAACCTGTACTGAGTTGATGACTGCGTTTCTCCAGGCCGGAGAGACTCGTGCTAGAGGTAAACCAGAAGGAAAAACACAGACAGTCCGTGAATCAACGTCTCCGTGATTAAGCTTTCCTACAGAGGTTTGAAAAGCTTCTAGAGGCGACTAATCTAACAAATCTCGGGTATCCAAAAGGCTTTTTTGTCCAAAGAGTCTCCACATCTTATAGAGTGATTACGTGAAGGACGGACTGAGAAACTATATCGATAGAGCCGCAATAATCGATCATGTCCAAAACAAGAGAGGCTGATCGGATCTTCAGTGAAGCAACCCAACGACACTGTCAGGTAACGACACATCAAAACCAATCACAGGACGGACTGAGAAACTATATCGATAGAGCCGCAATAATCGATCATGTCCAAAACAAGAGAGGCTGATCGGATCTTCAGTGAAGCAACCCAACGACACTGTCAGGTAACGACACATCAAAACTGACCAATCACATCCAGCAACAAAGAACGCAGCCACAGTCCCGATGACCAATTGTAAAGAAGGTCCTAAACCCATGTCCCAAATGGGCTTAGCACTACCAATGAAGATCGGGGAGCACGCAAAGACCCAAATTTCTGCCGTCAAGCCAGACACCAATCAGAGTGACCTCCAGTCGGTTAACGGCGTTCAACATTGAGAACAAGACTAAACCGATACTCATACGAGTCACGAAGCCGAAGTAGGCGCAGTGCGTGACATTGATGGCACGGACTTATCCTCCCCCAAGAGTCAGCCATAAAAGAGTATCAACTTCAGATGACAGCTTCGCTTAAATTTACGGGAATTCCCTGCATACCCTCCGCGCATGTAAAGAGTGAATAGTCTGGGATCTGTTCAGCCGCTCCGTGGGTGTGTTGCGTCCAGTTTTGTTAACTACGATCATTACTCGGATACCACCATATGTGCAAATCTATTCACTATGCAGTCAACCAATACGTCAAGTGGTCTTACAGAACAAACAATCATCCCGACAGCAGTCAAGTAGCTGTGTCAGCCAATGGTGACAAAGGTGACCAAACCCGTCATCGGAATTGTCATATCTGACTGTGGTCCCTGCTCCAGTGCCTTAGTGCCAGAAAAAGACTCGCCGACAAACTACACAACAGCTTTACTGCAACAAGCGAGTGCGGTCTCGCACTACTCAAAGGGCACCTTGTGACATTGACCCAGGCTGTTTGATCGATGTTTAGTGAACAGTGATCAACATCGACCTTGCTCCTATGAAATGCCTGAACACTTATCACAGTTGGTCGTGCTCATGTGGTGTGCCTGAACTCAACAGCTTTTGCTGAGTTGACTGAGTAATTGACTGGCCTACATGCTTGCTGACTTCCCCATTTATATTTTGGTGGAGTTTCAGGGTCTCAGCAGGTTCCGAACATTCTGGGGGTTACTTTCAGGAATCAGACCTTCCTGAAAAACGAACCCACCTACCCACTGATGACGTCTCGTCGTATGGTGATGGAACGTTTGCAAGTCAACTGCCTCGGAGAACAGATCAGCAGCCACGTGATCAACAACCAATCGGAATGCTTCGTGGCTACTCATTTTGTAGGACCGTTTCGCTGAAGACCTACTCCCCTTCTGTCACCTGAAATAACTTTAGTCAACAGATTAAACATTTTTGCACAACATGACCTGTCCCGTTCGCGTTTTGGATGACTACTCTACCTCAGGTAACTGTGTTCTCCCATGTCGCGACAGTCAGATGACTATCTCCTGAGACATGGTCAGTCGGTTCCAGAAGCGCTGCCAGATCTTCACAAATCGCGATTGTTAAACCTTCTTGCTGTCACCGCTCCAGTGCCTTAGTGCCGAAAAAAGAATCGCCAACAAGGAACACAACGGCTTTAGTCTGAACAAGGGAGTGCAACGATTTCAAGGGACCTCGCGCTATTTGAATTACATTTTTTATCGATTGAATTGATTGACTGGCCTGGATGCTTGTCGGCTTTCCTATTGAGAGTTTGGTGAATTTTTAGGGTCTCAGTAGGTTCTGGGCATTCTGGGATAATTTTCAAGAACTTCCTGACATTAATATATCGAGACTTCGATACTTTACTGGAAAAAAATTGTTGCGCTTTCCAGATTACTGGGAAACAATTGTTGCTGCATACAGGTAAACTTCGTCATTCCAGAGTTCCGCCCTCTAGAGCAGCTCTATAAAGTTACCAGGGTGGAATTTTCTCGAATAAGACAATTTTTCTCTTGGAAAGAGGACAGCTGTGCATACAAGCCTACAAAACCACGAAAGGCGATGCATCACATAGCTAGAGGAAGTTTGACATTCGGAAATGACACGAAAAACTGAGATTTGCTCTAAAACAAACTCAGATCAACCTGGAGGGAAAAGCATTTTCAGGGCTTAAAAGACGTCGGTCTAACAGAAAAAACTACAGAATGGAAAGGTTCGGACTTCCAAAAACCTGTGTCGGATCGGAAAGTATCCGACATAACCACTCTAGAAGTCATGATGCAAACATGATGCAACATGCACGAATGTGCTTTGTGGACAAAAACACCGCAGGCATTCGATCTTAAATTTGGATGCGCATCGACCAGCAAGAAGGCAAGATCCGAACACCAAATGACAAGAAAAACGCTAGGTGGAAACCAGGACTAGTGAGAATGCATTGGCAGTGGGTAGTTGTGCAACACATACACCAGGTGGTTCAGTCTGGCCGAAGAAAGAACACACCTGTACACATTACAGTTCAACATGTGGCGAGCACACCGTTCGCAGATCCACATAACACCTGAAAAAACGGAGCTAGATCAAGGACAAACATGACAAAAAATAGAAAGGAGACAAAGGGAATGAAGAGAACAGGGCTTTAGTATGACATATGGAGAACTGGTTGCAGCGATATTTGAGAATTAGATATTTCAAAACCAAGTGATTTGCTTATACAAAGTTTCAAATAACTGTACGTATTAGAGCCAGGGAGCAGCGATCTCACTGTTCACACCGACTGATGGCTTTGAAAGACCGTTGCACTTTGAATGTCCTTAACTGATATGTATCGAAAACCACATCAACGAGCAATAGAGTTTTTTCCCACAGCCGATCTGGTTTTTAAAGATAACGGTGACCTGAAACAAGTGTTCGTTTGACGGCATGGTGCTAAAGAAAGCCGATAGCCTTTAACCAACTCCACTAGTTGGTTCCGATGTTTGGTACAAGCCAATCATTCATATGCGGTTTCTTGGCACGAGGCATGTTGACTATCGTTCATTCAACTGGTTAAAGAATGAATAAACAAAGCGAAATGGGATGCTGAGGTTCCCTGAGGCAGCAAGCATGTTGATTCGGCCGGAATTTAATCTCATGCACATGAAAAATGGCATCTGAGGGCTAGGGCCTACGAAATGTAGGGCAGCAGAAAATCCGTTATCGATCGAACTGACCAAGGTTCGAAACCAAGCTGCGAAATTACTGTCAATATAGTGACATGCTTGAGTACCCCCACTTGTCTGGGTGTCATTGTAGTACACAGACCACGGATATCTATGAATTGCCGCTCTGTCAGTCGTCACGTAGTGACATCAATTGGGTCGTCTTACTTGCAAGTGATAGCAGCGCACAATCGAAAACCTCTAGGCATCAATTGGGTCGTCTTACTTGCAAGTGACAGCAGCGCACAATCGAAAACCGACTCAAGGTGATGCCCACCCCTTCGGTTTTATTCCCTAACCAACCCTGTTGAAAGCAGTATTATTGCTGACTCACCTTAAGGAATGATAGCTCCGTTCACCTTACATCGCGATGTGAGCTGCAACACCTCTAGGTCACTATAGACACCAGTTCTCCAAGGTCAAACTTCCAACCCCGATTCATCTGACCGCCCCTTGGGTCCGTGCTCTGAAACAGACTGGACCCCATACTAGACTCGATTTCCGCTAACTTCTGTCGTTCACCCGAGAAGGAGATCGAAGATCTGAGTGGGCTCGTTCAAATAAACAACCTGTCAGCCGCTTCCCGCCTCCGCTCACGCAACTCTGGGGATCCAAAGTAATCCGTGACTGACTGTGCAAGGCAAGTGCTGTCTTCCATGATCCAACGGAAGGATTTCTGTCCGACTAAATACCCGTTACCAACTACCGTCGTTCTATTCGTCAAGTAGTCGTTGTAAAATTATCGTGCAAGAAACGGCCACAACGGTCGCATGTGCACTATGTAAACTTACACCTCTAAAGACTGATTCAAATACAGCTTTTTACGACTCTCTGAAGTCTCAAAAAAGGGGAGGTGCGTTGTGGTCTTCTGGGATATAGAAGCACAATTAGGTTGATAGGATCGCTGAGGTTCAACTAACTGATTAACTTGGACTGGAATGGAGATGCGAGGACAACCGGAATCATGCGCGACGATCTCCAAAACGACCGATGTTACATGACTAAGCAGTACTTGTCGCACATAGGACGGTCTCAATAACATATTTATCACATCGTTATGAGCGATCAGAAGCGCAAGACAACTAACGAACGGAATACTAGTGGAGACTTTATTCATACGTTTTTTCGTTCTTGCAGATGACAAGTAATGTACTATATTGATGAACCAATTGGTTGCGTTCGAACAGCTTTCTATCTAAAAGGGGGCAGAGCTCTTTCCAGGTTTCAGTCCCTACATTTTTTGTGGATGAGAGACTTGAGAATGGCGAGGTTTTCTTTCTACACATTCGGTGTTCCCTTCATAAACGAATCGTTGTGCACTCAATGGATTTGACATGTCAATACGGTAGTGAAGCATCGGTGTTTAACACTGATGCCATGCTGTCGATGATGGTGATGATGATGATGATGGGTGGGAATCGTAATTCTGAGGGAGATTCACTGCTGAACGGTCAGAAAGTGTCTTTTTGATCAGGTGGCCATTGATCTGTTTGCCCAACTTGGTAAGTGGTTTGCAAACATCTCGCTATCATTTGAGGAGACATCGTCAGCGCGCAGCTTTCAACAAGTGTCTTATATCTCCAGCGCGATCGTCTATTTGAAGTTCATTCTACTCAGACAAACTAAGAGTAAGGTTTCATTCAGACTGGTGATGATGACAAAGGTTTAAG